GCTCTCTTCAGAGATAATCACAGAATATGACAGAGCTCGTGTTTTAAAGCGAAACACACTGGAATTGATCATTCACTGAAAACGCAACGCAAGTCTCTGTTCTCTCTGCAATCTCTGATGTAATTAGCCTGGTTTCCTTTATATTAGCGCTGTTTTGGATGGATTGTTTGAATGCATTTGCTTACTGGATCATTGGACTGAAAACTTTCCCGGAGTTTAGCGGCTTAAAATGATCTGATCGCAAGCAGAGAAGCAAAATTGGGGTAAAGGGTTAGAATAGAAATTGTGCTTCAGTGATTTTGCGTTAAATTATTTTAACGCGTTAAGGATTGTAAAATTAATTGCATGCGTTAACATTGACAGCCCTAGTTAATTTTAAAATTGATATGATGATAGACAATATAGAAGCATTTTTACTAGTGGTCCCAGACTTCACAGACATCTCTGTATAGGTGTATAATGTTCATTGTTTAAAACTTACATTTTCCGCCACAGTTACCTGACATCCCCCCTCCAGAGCACAAGGAATATAAACCTGGTCCCATTGGTAAAGAGCGTTCGCTCAAGAATCGTAAAGCTGCCAAAGATGTGCGTCAGTCCGATGGAGAGGGCCTGCATAAAAATGGAACTAGAGGCAGCCGAGACAGAGACTCCAGCTCACCCACTAAAGACAAAGTTCCTGAGCTGGGTGGAGACATTGAGGGCATGATCACTGCTCCATTAGCAGAATACTCCAGCAGCTCTAAGGTGCAATTTAATATCCTTCTGCTTCAATTGTCATTAACACACTATTATTCAAAGGTTTTGGGTCAGTGAGTTGTTTTTTGGGTCAGTGTATCATTTTAAAATAAGTTTTCTTGATTTACTTTTGGTCTTTGCCTTATTCTGAACTCAACTCAACATTTATTTGTAAAGAACTTTCAAAACCAAAAGAATGAACTAAAGTGCTGCACAGAGATAATTAAAACTATAATTAAAAAAAACACAACATACAAACCAACACATCATGACACCAATATTGTCTTATTTTCAGATACTCTTATTAAATGGTTTATTACCTTATTTCACAATATTACTGTTTGTACTCTGATTTTGATCAAATAAATGCAGCCTTGGTGAGCGTAAGAGACTTTTTAAAAACATTTAAATGTTACCAACCTCAAACTTTTGAATGGTAGTGTTTATTTTATAGAAAAAAAAATAGTTTAGTTGTAGTTATTTTCTGACAATGTGTCTGTTTATTTTGCAGGAATCAGTGACTGACTACACAATCCCATCTTCCTCGTTAGCAGACAATGTCCCCACTGCAGGGACCAAGATGGAGAAGAGCCTTGTGACACCTGTGAGTGCTTCAGTATTGTAATCAATATATGTGTGTGTTTGTGTGTAGGGTTTCTGTGTGTGTGTTCTGATCACTTTTTTGGTTGTTGGTTCAGGTGGCGCTCCCACACCCATTGCCTATTCAGCGAAGAGAAGCCCTGCAGCAGAGCTCCAGCCTTGCCACAGTCTCTCCTGCTACTGTTGACCTCACACTTAAAGTAAGGCGCACCCACTAAATGATTCTTTTGAAAATCAGAAATTTAATGTTTAAACTTTAATGTACAAATCCTGATCCTCGAAGCGAAAGCATCAGCATACCATCACACCATAAATAGTCAAAATGTACTTAACACAAGTATGTGAATGCAAATGCTACCAGAAGCATCTTTTAAACCGCTCCTCACTGTTTTCGTGCAGATGGAATCTGCGCGCAAGGCTTGGGAGAACTCGCCTAGTCTTGTGGAAAAGAGCTCTCCTGTCACCTCCTCTGCTTCCCCCATCACCAGTGGAGGAGGAGCAGGCAGTGCCTCCTTCAATTCCTTCTCCAGTGCTTCAGTGCCTCAGATACCTGTGGCCTCGGTCACCCCCAGCACCTCCCTGTCCGGTAAGAGTTCATGCTTGACCAGCACACCCCATGAATGGGACAGATAGTAAAAACAGACATGGGACGAATTTTAATAGTGGGCTTCTGTTATACAGGATCTGCAACCTACACAACGTCCTCTCTCAGCACGAAGAGCACATCAGCTTCTGACCCTCCCAACATCTGTAAGGTGAAGCCCCAGCAGCTGCAGAGTTTAGGAATGTCCAGTGCTAACTTCTCGCAGCTGGGCTGTGCGCCTTCTCTGTTACCACAACAGCAGCAGCAACAGACCCCACAGGTGTTTGTATCCCAGTCTGCAGCAGGTAAATTTATTTATAGTCCATAACATTTTGAATAATGTTTCTGCTCATCTAATTCAATATACTACGGTTCTGATGTTTGGGGTCAGTAATTAATTAATTTATTTATTTTTACGTTTCTTATGCTCACCAAGGCTACATTTAAAAATGCAGTAAAAATAGTAATGTGAAATTATTATAATTGAAAATAGTTTTCTATTTTAATATATTTTAAAAGTAATTTATTCCTGTGATGTCAGCTTGATTTTCAGCTGCCATTACTCCAGTTTTCAGTGTTCTTCAGAAATTATTCTGATATGCTGCAGGGCCTGAATTTCGTTTTGAAAAAGTTTTCCCTTTTAGGTGACTCTTATGGGGTGGATTTTTTTTATTTGAGGGGGGAGTTGGGTTTTTTGTTTTTTTTTGACATTTTTAACGACAATTATCTAATCTAAAAATGTTTTATCACGCAGTGTATTTGTTTTTTTACAGTTTATAATGTTGATTTTTATATTTATATTATGAGGAAGATACTTAAAATTAACTTTGATTTTAAACTCTTATTTAAAATAATTTTATTAAAATAAATTCAATGACAAGCAATGGCACAAATACAATAACAAGATAAAACTGAAATTAATGTGCTTTGTTTTTCAGGTAGGTATAAAAGTAATATTCAGGTACAGAAATACAACAGAAACTGAATAATCTATGCAACTTTAAAATAACACTGGTTAGTCTTTTACAATGATATATTTGCGTGAATTTCCCGCGTTATAAACGCTTATAACGTTAAATATAACGTATAACGTTTAAGTTTCCACGTGGAAACTGCATAAATTAGTAAGAATTATGCGCAATACCCACAATCCTGCACCGAAATTCAAACCCTGTGCTGATTTGGTGCTCAAACATTTAGCAATGCTGAAAGCAGTTGTGCTGCTTTAATATTTCTTTGTGAAATTTTTATTTGTATTTTTTAAAGATTGTTTGAATAGTTAAACAATTATTTGAAATATAATTTATTTGCAACATTATACATCTCTTTATTCATCAATTTATTGCATTCTTATTGGCTAAAAGTATTAACCTGTTTAAAAAAATCTTAATGACCCCAGACTTTGCGTGCATGTAGGACTCTAATTTGCATGGCATTTCTTTCTTAGGTCTATAGCTCCATGTTAGTCTTGATTAAGCGATCGACAACTGTTTTTAATTGTGTAGGTTCTGCAGCCCAAATCCCAGCCTTCTACATGGACACCAGCCACTTGTTCAGTACGCCCCACCCTCGCTTGGCTCCTCCCTCTATAGCCCAGCAGCAAGGCTTTCAGCCTGGACTCTCACAGGTATAAAACTCGGTGTCCCCCACCAGCAGGATCAGACTTTCAAGTCATGATATATGAATAATGTTTTTAGTGGTCTCATTTCCCTGAAGTTGAGTTTGGTTGACACCCTGTTATGATTTCTGTCTCTGTAGCCTACAGCGGTGCAGCAGATCCCAATCCCTATTTACGGTCCTCTGCAAGGGCAGCACCAGCACCAGCACCAGCACCAGGCCCAGCTGAGCCTCAACGCTGGACCTCCGGTGTCTCAACCTCAAGACCTCTTCAGCTCCTCCATACAGCCCTACAGGTATTGCAGGCCGAGTTGCTGAAATCTGTAGCATCCAACAATTTTTTGTATAATGCACAATATCTCAATGCATTTATTGTGCGTTCTCGTGCTTTCACAGGTCTCAGCAAGCATTCATGCAGAACAGCCTCTCCCAGACGTCTCCCATGATGCTGTCTGGGACGCCACTGCACAGTTACCCTGGAGTGCAGCCCCCAGAATTGGGTAAGCCTCAGTCCAACCTGGCCTTCCAGCAGACATCAAACACCCAACATATCCCCATCCTGTTTGAGCCCCAGCTGAATCAGCCCTCTGGCATGGGAGGATCACAGCTCATAGACACACATCTACTGCAGGTCAGAATTCAGTTTCTCTAGATGGTGGCCTAATATTTCTTTGCCCTCTTATTCAGCCTGCTAAAGTTTTATTTTTTTCTCTCTCTCGGGGTGATGATCTGCAGCGTCAGGGAATGAGTCAGCACTCAAACCTGTTCTCCGGACAAGTCCAGCAGCAGAGCAGCTACTACAGCTCAACACAAAGTCCCAGCTCTGCCCTACAGCAGATGACGGTTTCCATGCCAGGTTCACAGTTATCTTTGCCCAACTTCGGCTCTGGTGGTGGTCAGCCACTCTTGGCTTTGCCTCAGTCCTTACCTCCGACCCTTCCCCAAGTCCCGCCCCCCAGCCTCAACCGCCAGCCCGCCAGCAATCCGCCCTATCGTGGCCTTTTTGGCCAGAATACACACAGCATGATGCAGCCTTCCAATAAGGTTTGTGCACAGATTCTCACACACTGATCATTGTTTTTATTACATTTTTTTTACTACATTTTTACTTTTCTTTTTTTAAAGTAATTTATTTCACTTAATTTGTTTAATTTACTGGTAGTAATCAAGGTATTGATTACTCCTAATAATAAATAAGTAATAAATTAGTCTTTATAAGCACAGCACTGCTTTGTGGACAGGGTAACCTCTGTATTTTGCCACATAGTGTCAGAGAGTGAATTTGTGTTTTCACTCAGCACATCTGCTGTTTTAGTTCCAATTATTAATACATAATGGTAATACTTTATTTTAAGGTGTCCTTGTTACATGTACTTACTATTATAATAACAATAAATTATGCATAATTATGTGCAAGTAACCCTAATCCTAACCATATGGTAAGTACATTTAGTTAATATTACTCGGTACTTAAATATATAATTACTGTCTGTAACAAGGACACCTTAAAGTAAAGTGTTACCTACATAAACATTTATTAGGCTTAAAAGTGAGGTGTCCTTTTTGTCAAATTAAACTAACATTTAAGGAAAATGATTTAAACACATAGTTCTAGTCTAATATAATATTTTTCTGAAACTGAAATATTCTTGTAGTCTAATGGCGCTTTTCCACTGCATGGTACGGTTCACTTTGGCAGCGTTACCAGAGTTGCCCATATACCACACCATGTTACAGCACAGTAGGGCTATTGCAGACAGAAACAATACTGTACTACATCGATGTTTCCTGTCGGCTCAATTTTTGAGTGGACTTTGTTGTTCCGATTCGCTTGAACGGTATACGAGTGGAGCGACTGAGCGGAGCGCACGAGCATAGAGCGGGATAATACGCAGAGCGTCACACCATGTGAAAGTGAAACCTGAGCGGTGAACTAATTTTCGGCAGCTGAAATTTCGGTGCATCTCTTAATTATTGGCGACATCAGAAATGGATATTATATAATAGATGCTTTTTTGAACATTTTAGCAATTTAAAAATATTAAAAAAGGATTTTTTACACTGCACCCCTGCTCTCGACAGGCGGCACCCCGGTTGGGAAGCACTGGTCTAAATCTTATCATACATGGGGTATATTGAAACATGCATGCTTTTTATCTGTTGTAGATGTGTGAGATGGATCTGAAGCTCTTCAGTGGTGGAATGGATATGAAGCCTGGAACTCCACCTGTCAGCGCCAGAAACACTACCCCCACTTCTAGCCCTTATAGGTGTGTGTGCATGCAAAGCCATCCAGATTAAGGCCCAGACACACCAAACCATCATCAAAGACCTAGTGGCGACAAAAGCCTTACAGCGTTTGCATCTGGGCCAAAAATGTTGGGCTTGAAAGCACAGCAAAGACTTGTCAGCAGGCAACTAGCATATACATTCTGTGCTTACATGAGGGGATAGCTCTCCATAAGTAGTATTTTAGGTAGGACTGTGAATATTCACTACTGGTCAACAGTTTGGAATTAGGATTTTTTTTTCTTCTCATATTTTAGAAATCATTCTATGCTGATTTGGTGGTCAAGAAACATTTATTGATATTTTATTGCTGCTGAATATTTTTGTGGAGATTTTGATACCCTAAACTTTTGTGTAAGGACCAATCGTCGGCTTGGTGTCATGGCCTTTATGCACACTGCATGCATGCATATCCCCAATCTGTTGCAGCCATATTTTGTATGTTTTCTGACAGCTTCCTTGTTTGTGTTCTCAGGGCGAGCTCCACAAGCCCCAGTAGTCAGTCTAGCAAGATGAGCAGCATGCTGTATCCCAAACAGTTCCAGTCGGGCTCAGCAGGAATGCGCATTGCCCAGCACTTCCCAGGACAGTTCAACCCACAGGTCAGTTACTACAGGCATAAAGCAAGTTGTTGGAAATCTTAATTTGATCATACTTCTTGAGCATTAACAGCATTTCCCGTCTCTTGCACATAAACAGATGTTGTCTCAGGCTAACATGGTGTCTCCATTGCTGCGTCCACCCCATACAAACTCCTTTCCTGGAGGGGTGCAGCGTTCACCAATGGGTCCACCTATGTCCCCTAATTTGAGTGGGGGTCTGATGCCCCATCCCAGACCCCAGCATCCTCCACGTGGAACTTCTGGTCCCTCATTGGCACCACGTGGCACACAGACTGCCCTGAAAGCAGAACAGGACCTTAAGGTGAGTGTTGTTATCACATTAAAGTAAATAGGGTGATTTTTGATTGAAATAGGAGCGCAATAACTCTAAAATATACATTCAGCTAAATTATTTGTTGTTGGACAATAAATGTGACGTGTAGAATTTTAAATCTACAAGTATAGTTTTATGATGGCACTAGGGGTGTGCGATATATATATCGTCTGCGATAATATCGTAATTGTTGTTTTAACGATGTGCGATTTGACATTATCGAGTATTTTGCAAAAACCATTCAGA